ATAAAAGGGAGAAAGACGTGGGGTTGGAAGACATACAACACACACACGCACACTTATTACAGTTGTGCCCTCTCGCAGAGGGTCCGAATAAATATACAGTCCCGAATAAAAGAATATTACAGTCCAAATATTACAGTCCGAATAATGTACAAATTCCTAATTAATTAATCAAATCAACTAAGAAAATTGTAAAACTGACGTGCAAGCCAAGGACTGCCTTGCTCCTGATGAATAATATATGTCTGGGCTGCCTTACGCGGAAATCCACTGGGATGCCCCAATTAGCCTCTGTTTTGTGATTTTTCTTGGGAAGCGCGCAAAACTCCGGAAGTTTGCTGATTCTTCATTTTGCTGCAACAGAGAGTAGGAAAGGGTCATGGCAATGTATTTTCACAGATATATGCATGCCTCGATCCTCGTGCCACCAATCACGCATATCGATACATGATGGCAGAGGGGCTGAATTGCACAATTCAATGTAGAATGAATGTACATGAAAACACAACAAAACCTAACTCCCCTAACTCCATCATGGATAATCCGGAGTGTCGGTGACTGGGAAATTGAGATACATTTCGTCACTCAGAGTACGAAATGCACCTCGTTTCCCGCACCCGGGCTAACTCCTATTCCGAACACGATGCAATATGCATGATATGCATGAAATGCAACTAAGATACAATCCTAATATACACGATGCTATGAAAATGAGATGCCTCGAAATGCGCGCACACGAGCACGTAAACCAAGAAAATGACAGAATGCGATCTAAGATACAACCTAGTATGCACTATGTTGTGAAAATGAGATGCCTCGAAATGCGTGTACACGGGCATGCAAACTGAAGAAATGCATGAATGCGATCTAAGATACAACCTAGTATGCACTATGCTGTGAAAATGAGATGCCTTGAAATGCGTGCACACGGGCACGCAAACCGAAAAAAATGACATGCAATGCAAATACATGGAAATATGATATGTGCTTACACTAACATGAGAGAGCCTCAGCCACACTCACATCAGAGGCCGATGGATGAAAATGAAATGCCTCGAAACGCGTGCACACGGGCACGCTAACCGAGGCAATGGCATATGCAATGCAATATGGCTAAAATGGCATATAGAATGCAACATGGACTTATACTAACATGAGACAGCCTCAGCCACACTCACATAAGAGGCCGATGGATGAAAATGAAGTGCCTCGAAATGCGTGCACACGGGCACGCAAACTGAGGAAATGCCAGACGCAATGCAAATGACATGAAACTATGATATGGGCTTATACCAACATGAGAGAGCCTCAGCCACACTCACATAGGATGCCGATGGATGAAAATGAAGTGCCTCGAAATGCGTGCACACGGGCACGCAAACCGAGGCAATGCAAAAATGCGAATTATGGCATGGGAAGTGGTATGCAAACATGGTAATAGAATTTAAGCACTGAAATGTGGGGGAAAACAGCCCCGAAATGAGGCGAAAACACACCCGATGCGAGGAATGGTCTCGAAACATGAATTTTGGGACCCGAAATGGCCTATGGCTATACCAAACATGCACAATATGGGTATGCAATGAATAGACAGTAGCAAGGCAGCCCCAAAATTAGCATTTTACCAGTACAAATCATGGCCAAACAGCAAGCGACGATAGGGCAACAATGGCATGCAAAAATGGCCTTAAACATGAGGTTATGAAGCAACTCACAGATGCTAGTTCCAAACAGGTTAGGGCCCTTCAACAACATTGAAGAGGGGCCACAAATAAGCATATTTTCAGAACTGTAAAAACCCAAAAAACAATCATAGACAAGGCTAAGTTCTTATGCAAGAAAAAGGGCCAAAAGGTGGCCAAAGAGGCAAGTGGTATATGCAATGCCCAAACTGAAAAATTCCCTTCTACAACATTGAAGAACGACCAAAAATAAGCATATTTACAGAACTGTAAAAACCCAAAAACAGTATACAAACATGCTAGAAATGCAATGCAAAATGAGGCTCAAAAGTGGCTACAACACAAAGTATGCCAAATATTCCACAAACAGCCAAAGACCCTTAATGAAGCATGTTAAGAAGGTAAAAATAAGGCCATCTCTAGGCCTGTAAATCGTCCAAAAATGGAAGCATAATGGGCTGCCAAAGCATGCAAGAAAATGGCATTCAAGGAGGATATCGAAGCAAGTGCAATATGGAGGGCTCAAACAGGGTTGAGCCCTTAATGAAACAAGAAAATGAGCTTAAAAGAAGGCCATTTTCAGTTTTGGTCGGAGCTCAAATCAATAAGCATGTATGGCTTAGAAATGTTACAAGAATAAGCTCAAAAAGGGGGAAAGTGGACTTACCTTTGAAGGCTTGACTTTGGTTGCCTCTTGGCTTGAGTTTGTGGCTCCTTAGGCCTTGGAGAACACCTTCACACTCCTGGAATGGAGGATGGAAGGGTGGGGGGTGGTGGTGTAGAAGAAATGGTGGTGTTGGACTTGGAGGTTTTCAAGGAAATGAGAGAGATAGAGGATGAATTTTGCATCAAGACTTGAAGATGATTTTCTCCAACCCCTTCATGAAACATGGCCTGCTGGTTATATGGACCAAAAGGAGAGGGAGTATGGAAGGAAAGGGTGGGGGAAAAGGATCAAGACTTTCCCCCACAAAATATCCCCCGGATACAGATATTTTCTGGGGGAAAGGGCTACACAGCTGTAAAGTGGAAGGAGAGAGGAATATGGCCGGCCACCTATTGGGCTTGGAAGTGGCCGGCCGGCCACCCCCCCTAGCCGGCCGGCTAGGGGTCAAAAGGGTCAACTTGAAATAGTGGCCGGCCACCACATATTGGTGGCCTCCCAGGTCTCCTCTTCACAACCCTGTGGTTCGAATTTGAAAACTCTAAAACAGGAGAGAGAACAAGCCATTTTGAGGAGGGGTTCAAAAGGTTCAAATGGAATTAATGGCTGACCATAAACTTTTAGGGTCCTCCCATGTGTGTACAACACGAATATGTGGTTCAAAGTTCAAGAAAGTGGCCCAAGGGTGTTCAACATTGGCTCGGAAGGAGGGGTTCAAAAGGGTCAAGAAACATTAGTGGCCGGCCATGAACTTTTAGGGTCCTCCCATGTGTGTACATCACAAATATGTGGTTTGGGTTTGAAGAAAATGGCTCCAAGGTGTTCAACATTGGCCCGGAAGTGCGAAAAACGGGCGTCGAAGGGCGAAAATGGAATATAACTGGTTGCCAAGATAATTGCTGGCCTCCCATCCTCCTACGGCCTTCCCGGTGATAAAACAGAGATACCTACCAAAAATGAACAAAAACCGATGCAAAACGAATGCTCGGGGGCCAAAACACGCAGTTCGGGGTCCCGAAAATGGGCTGTTAAGCACCGAAAGTGGCGTTCGGCCACGAAGTGGGTTTCTCAGACCCCAGTGTCCCTCAAAAGGGAGAAAATAAGACATACGCCAAAAACCATAGCAAACGGAGATGGTTAGGCGGTCCCGAAGTGAGGCACACGGCCAACAATCCCGAAAACCGAGAACCGGGCTCCGAAATGGGCAAAATGGCCTATGACCACAAAACGTAGCCCACGGCCACTAAGAGATGGTCTACAGGACCTCGTCCTCCCCTCAGG